ATATCTTATCTCTATGGTTGATGGACTTATTGAGCTATGTAACCGTGTGGAAAATGAATAAATATATAATTTTGATAGATAGAAAAAACAGTGGAATATCTTAAGAGTTTATTTTGACTAACAATGTGCATGAACTGGTTTTCTCATAGCAATAAGGGTGAAGCTAGAACATCTAAATTTTAAGGGGGTGATAAGGGAAAAAAAATTATATTTATTAGGCGAGGGTCAGGAGAATAAAGACACGTGTACTCCGAAGACCGTCAATGTCCAAGGTCAAGAGTGAAGTCCAACCTAAATTTACGCATAGTTACAATGAGTCTCACTTAGGCCCAAGGGCCTGAGGAATTTCACTTTCAACCCAAGGTCTAAATGTGGCCCAATTAGTGAATCTATTCCTGGAACAACCTTGAAGTTCTATTTTGCAGGCTTTGGAGCAAAGAAGACTTGCAGGCTTTGGAGCAAAGAAGACGCATATACATTGCCGTCATTTGTCTTTGGACTAATGTTAGGTATTTTTTGTATTATCACGAGAAAGGTGAATTCAATGCACAACCANAAAAAAAAAAGGAAAAAAAAAAAGACAATATCCAAAACAGGTTGAACTGTGTTTCAACTGGACAGAGAGGAGAAAGATCTCCAAAACCCGCTACTTCTTCACCATTTCTAAATTTTGGTTTGGGTTTAAATCCGAAACAGGTTTGGTTTATTCTTAACCTAATTCAGTTAATATGTCTGCTAAACCAGATTCCCTGTCTGCGCGGCAATTCATATGGAGTTCGAATGATTTTTGAGGCATTTTTTTGCTTCTTCACCAATTGTTGATTTTGGTTTCAGGGTTTAAATCCAAAATAGGTTTGATTTATTAATTCAGTTGAATCTGTCTGCTAAACCAGATTTGTTTTCAGCCACGTTCCCTGTCTGCGCTGCGATTCATGGGGAGTTCAAATGATTTTTGAGGCATTTTCTTGTTTTCAGAGCCATGTTTACAAACGATGCTAGACAAAAGGAGCGCACTGGAAAATATGGAAGCCCAAGACTGCAATACCTCCAGGTAACAATGGTGCTTGCGCGTATTTTAGCTTAATTCTGTATTTTGTTTCATTTGTTTTTGTCTCTTAATTTATCATCCCTTTTGAATTCATGTGGCGTAGGAGTTGGTCTCACAGTTTCAGAATGCATCGAGCGAAGGTATGGAGTTTCAATTTAAGCTCAGGTTTCGCATTAGGATGACTGATGTAAAGTTTTGAACTTTAATGTTCGTGCTGTAAACTCTATGCCAACAGTTTTTTTCTTTGCATTTTGGTTGGAAAGCTTGATTTCTTACGATGAAATTGATTATTGTTGGATGATATTATGGTTATTAGACCAAATAGAAACTATGTGCTCTGTGAATGAAGTGTTGTCAAACACAAATTCTTGTGTGAGGACAACCAGTATATCCTTAGGGAACATGGGCTGATTGATGATATCAGTAATTCACCTTCAAGTCTATACTACACTGTGCAACTACTCACTAGTTGTTTCATGTCTACCATTAGTAATTCACATGCTAACAAGGCCATACAAAAATATATACCATCAGTAAATAAATATTTATTTCTCCAAGTCCTAAGCCTTTTGTTGTTGATAATTTCATTTTAGCTATATATTGAAAAACATCCTGTTGTCTTAATGTAAACTGCTTGTCTGAATTGTGTTATGATGCCTATCAATCTTCCAAACAGCTCTTTGCACCACTTTTATTTTTGTTTTTTCAAAGCTACAGTGCTGTATGTTTTCTTGAGTTCTAGTGTAGGCACTTTTACCTTTGAACATTGATGTGGTACACAAGCTTTTATGTCTACCTTATATAAAGTGTGGCTAGTTTGTTATTTTCTTTTCTTTCTTTTTTGTTTCCCTGCAGAATTTGCTCACATCTTTTGGTCTTACATACACTATGAATGACATTGCAGAAACAAAAGAGAAAATTGTTGCAAATTTGGGAAATTTTGCCTATGATCCTTACAATTATACCTTTTTACGCCAGGTATTTGACCTCCTCGCATATGTTTTAAAGTGAGCAAATGATATGTTTCTTACATGATTAATCAACTATGTCTCTTGAGCAGCTAAATGTTTTGGAGCTTTTTCTGGACTGCTTGACAGAGCCTAGCGAGAGGCTCGTGGAATTTGCCACTGGGGGAATCTGCAATGCTTGTGCAGGTAGAGATTAACTTCGATTTTTCTCATCTGATTTTTTATTTCTGTATGTACATTTTTCTCAGTTTGGTTTTCCAAATAATTTCAAACATGTAGATCCAGCCAATGCTGCAGTTATCGTTCAGTGTGATGGGATTCCTCTTATCATCCAGTGCTTATCAAGTCCTGTCAGGAACACGGTAAAAGAATGTTACAACTGAATATAAAATCTTTATGGACAACAATTTTTTTTTTTTTTTTTTCAATATTTTAAGTCCAACTTCTTCATGGAGTTGATTTTCCAACCTTGTACTTCGAAGTGAGAATTAACTGGCCTCACTCAAAGCTACCTACACATGGTTATTATTCTGATTCTATATATGTTCAAATGATTGTCTAGTGTAATGTCATTAACCTCTGTGACTGACTAGTTTAATCCGATACAGAATAAAAAAAGGGGAAAAATGTTATATTTGGTTTGGTGGTTTTAACTTTTTAGTCCCTAAATCTTCAATATATGCAGGTGAACTATGCTCTTGCTTCGCTATATTATCTTTATAATGCAACCACTAAGGACGATATCCTAAAACCCGAGGTGTTAGAAGCCATTAGAAGGTTTGCTGCAGCAGGTGAGGTTAACGTATGCTTCAGTAATCTTGCTCAATCTTTATTGGACAGGCTCGACACCTCGGAATCTTAACTGAAAAGGGTTTTCGCAATGATAATGTGAAAATATTACTTTGCAAAACTAAATATGATAGATCTTATGTTAGAAATTCAGATGGATTAGTGAAAGATTCGCAAACCTGACGAGAAGTCCATTCTATTTTTTACTCAGTATTTGAATATTATTCGGTTGAATGTATATAATGACATGTACTCGGCCACGGAGAAAAATGAGCCTTCTTTTCATCACGCTCTTGCCCTTTTACTTTACTGCATAGGTACTTCAGATAAATTTTAATGATGCCTTCCTTTTCCCTCTTCTTTTTTCTAAGTCTTTCATTAATTCCTTTTTCCTTATTTGTACTTGCTTTTAGTGTGTATTGAATATTGATTGATATTATCACGCCTACTAAACAACAATTTTGTCACTTAATGAATAATGATGAGTGTTTGCGTTTCATGAATTATTTTGTTTGGAATGATTCTTGAAGAGATTAGCAATAATTATGAGTATGTTGAATATTTTATTGTTTTGATTTTGCCCCTGAAGTATGTGGCTTTTTTCTAATTTACCGAACTTTTATTTGTTTGTGTTTAACCCTAATGGTATTGTTGTGTTCCACCATGGACTCAAGGGGTATTGCCAAAACAAAATCTGTATAATCATAAATTTGTATATGCACATTCTAGTCAGATTCTTATATCTTTTAATAGTTTGATGCTTTGTTGGGTGAAGAACATCATGAAGGCAAAAATGCACAAAAACAGTATCAGTTAAACAAAAATAAAAAAAAAGCACCATATCAACTTCTTAAGAAAAAATACAGATTCACACTCATCAAACTCAGGCCAATGCATACACTTACAACAAGTCCCTAACACCGATTCGTCAATACTTTCGACCAGACCAGACCTAAATGAAAATGGTTTAAACAAAAGGAAAATCTATCTAGCACACATGAAGGATGACCACTAAAGATGGAAAAAAAATGGGGGTGAAGAATATATAGTAGCCATCGAAGTTCAGGATGATAATGTGACATGAGGGTGGGGGAATATAGAGTACGCAGTATGATGTTGCAACACCAATGTATAGAATACAGACTGTATTGTTACACAGAGAAATAAATTGCAGAAACACGAATATAAAAGTTATTTGTCTACGGGGAGCGTCCATTATTCAGTACTTCACAACGAATAATTTCGAAGTCGATTTGGGGAAATCTATCCAATACGCAGATTATCTGCTCTGGAGAAAGAATAAATATGAAGGACAAAAGGATATTCCTTTGTCGATAGGAAAAGAGAAGAATTTCTCTTTCATTGTATATATGTATACCCACAAGGAAACATCCTCATTGGTACACGCACCGTTGTTATCAATACCGACGAGATGTTTAAAAAAGAGGGCGACTCTTCACACACCAGCGGTCCAGAATCAGACGCGTGGCGAGCAGACAGTAGAGGGACACACCTTTTCCATAGGGCCTTTCTCATCATTATAAGAACTGTCGTGGCTGCTTTAAATGAACCAAAAAGACACAACCTTTATTATTTCAATAAAGAACTTATATTCTACCAATTATGGAAGATCGTTGAATTGCGCACCTCCACTATATTTGGGCGCCTGACATCGACATCAACTTCTCGATCAAAGCTCGTCACCAGATTGGCAAGATTAACTCAAATAGCTTCCTACGACCAACCGAAATGTACCGTCTAGTTCCAGGAACTTGGGCCTTCTGTTATACCTAAAACATGTTGAAATGCCTGACATGGGCATCAACTTCACCAGATCGAAAACATTAACTCAAATAGCTTCATACGACCAACCGAAAGGTATTGTCTGATCCCAAGAATTTGGGGGCCTTCTGTTATACCAAAAATATGCCGATCTGGATTAGACAATTAAATGGCGATGATGTGGGTGATGGATTTACATCGATGGTACTTCAAAGTCCTAGTGTGCAATGCCAACCAGATTCCTAAATACGTAAGAAGCACATCGACATGGAATGCCTAGAGAACACCACCCTCTATGCCAATCTCACTCGAGGATGCATAACCATCAACCCAACATCATTGTGACGTAAGAGGAGAAATTATCTCACATCGGCAACGGCCACGTATGTATTTACATGGCTTTCTTAATGTCAATCTCAGCTGATCCTTCTATAAGTAGTCATGCCCCGACATCAGGAAATACATCGATTTCCATCATGAACATACTATAGTTCAATTGTCTTCAATAGGCATATATAATAAGAGATCTACAAGCAATCCAAATCTACCAATTAATCTTGGTACAAGCGTATCAATGCAAACACCTAATTAATCGATAATGGAATATAAGACCATCTCTACTCTAATTAGAGGGTAAATGAATCGAACGTTCGCGAACAAAAGCTTGTTCGAGCTCGTTCGTGTTCGACAAAAGCTCGTTTGTTTGTTAATCGAGCCGAGCTCGAACAGAAAATTAGGCTTGTTTAATAATCGAACGAACACGAGCTTGTTCGCGAACGTTCGATCATGTTCACGAACATTATTTAATATAATTTTATTTAATTTTTTATATATGTACATAATATTGTCAATAAAAAATCTAAAATATAAAAATATTTTTATTTTTTATTTTATTTTTGAGTTTAAACGAGTTCGAACGAACAATTTTGAGTTAATCAACCATATTTAAAAAGTTTATGTCCTAAATTATTCGAAGACGAACGAACTCGAACTTTGACGAACAATTAAACAAACGAGTTCGAACATGATTTTTTGCTCGAAAAATAAACGACGAACACGAACACTGTTCAAACGTAAACGAACACAAGCTCAAATAGCCCAAGCTCGGCTCGTTGGGTTCGATTGCACACTAACTCTAATGTCCTCTAGAGTAGAGTAAAGCAAAAAATAAATTCGTCTCTAACAATTTACACTATATTTTACTCTATATGAATATTTTTATTTTTATTATTATTTAAAATTAATTTTAATATCAAAGTATGATTTAATTAAAATTATATTATATATTTAATAAAGGTACAATATATAATAACATTCTATATTATTAAAATAAAAATAAAATATTTACTTAAATATTAATTAAAAGTACAATATATAATAACATTCTATATATATTTAAAAATGAAAATAAAATATTTACTAAAATATTAACTAAGATTGAAGAAAAATGTCAATTTTTAATCTAAACCATACATTATAATCGTTAAGAAAATAATTTGTATATATAAAATATATTGGACAAATATTAGAAGGTAAGTAAGAAATTTCTTCCCATATTTATTGGTATACATTTATCAAAATATTACATTAAAATACATAAAAAAAATATATATTTACATATAGTTTAAGTTTAAATTTTAAGTTTATTGATAGATAGATGTAGATTGGTAGATATAAATACAAAAATTCATAAAATTTATATTAAAATTAAAGTTTATTAATAGATAGATGCTGGAGTAAGAGGGAAGTTATATGAAGCGTGTGCTCGTAGTCCGGTCTGACCCCATACATCATTCGAAACCGTGATACCATATTTAAGAAACTCATGTTCGCATTCCTTTGTATTTTTAAAAAAAATATGCACGACCCTTATAGTTAAGTAACAAAACATTTCTATAACTACGAAAATTATACAATTTTTTATTTTGTAAAATTCTAATTTACCTATATACCCTTCTAAGTTTTATTGCAAAAATTAAAGCGCTTTATTGAAAAAAAAATAAAATATTATCAAGAGTGGGATTCAAATCAAGGTTACAAAGAAATAAATATGGTCAATCAACCACTAGGCTACATATACTTATTTTTATTGTTGAACACAACAAAATTTATCATACCAATACCCAAATGAAGTAATTAAATAAATAAGTAAAATAAAAGTATAATAAATAAATATCTATTTACTATATATAATTAGACAACAAACTTGCTAAAAATAGTAAGTGTTTTAGTGGGTCCCTCATCATATTACTATTTATGGAAAGTTAGTTTCAATTTTTTTTTTATTTTTTTAAACGTTTCACTATTCACCTTGCATTAATTAATTTTTTTTTCATTTTTAATAATAGTTTAATAGTTAAAGTGGATCCAAATTTGTTGTCATTTATAGATAGACAGTTTAAAATGTATTTTCTGTTTTGATTTCTCATAAATATCAAAGTAATTTTCTTTTTACAACTACATAACTTGTTGAATCACGGTGAATTATTTATGATGTGTATTAAATAATAATTTATATTTAAAGCCTTCCTAAAAATATGAAGATACTAGATAATAATATGGTACTTATTTACATAAAAGAATGGTGTACAAATAAAGAAATTGTAATTACATGTATAGAAAATAATAATTAATAAATAATATTACGTTATAAATTATAAGACCACACAAGCTATTAGAAGAGTTTTTTTCTTCTAAAAAATATTTTTCTTTAATAAAAAAAAAAAACTTGAGATTGGTCTTTATACCAGCAAAAAGAAAATGTTTAGAATGCTAATAGGATAAAAAAAAAACGAAAATATTAAAGCATAACAAAAATTTGATAAAAGATCGTCCTACATATTAATAGTGCGTAAATATATTTTCAGTTTTAAGATAAGTGAATTAGTACCGGTGAAATCGTGGAGAAGTTGGAGTTCCATAACCACCACGATTTAGATAAACTAGCAAATTGAGTTTGCGTATATGTTCACATGATACAACTGCTAATATTTAAAACCTTAATTTTTAATTTCTATGATAATGATGTTAACATGATAACATAACATAATATTGAGAAAAATAAATCAATTACACTATATAGTGGTTCTGGCACATAACATATAACATAATGAAGAAGTAAAGAGAAGGATCTTTATTGTTTAAGTAGCAACAAAATTTTGAGAGAAAATCCATGAATTTTAAAGAGAGAGAGAGAGAGAACATATGTGCAAAGTTTTTAAGAAAAAAAAAAAAAAATGAGAGAAGTTAACCATTATTTCTTTCGCTATAATATTGAAAATAATAGAGGCCATATAGAAAAAATTCAGCTTCAAATAAGATCTATTGATTTGTAATTTGTTAAAGGAAAAAAAAAAAGATATAGTCTATCTATTACATAAATTATTTATTATATCAACAAAATCATATATAATGTGTTTTTAAGAAATAATCCTCAAAAAATTCAATAAACGTCCCAGTCAAATAAGTTAGCCATTTTTATAAAAAAAAATGATACTATTTCTCAAATTTTGCATATAATGAGACAAACATGGATAAATCTCTTTTATATTGCAAAACTTTATGGGCAAACTATGAAATTAGGTGCTTCATTTATGAATTTAAAAGACATGCAATGGTCTTTTCATTTAAAGAATGTCATGGCTCATTATTTGTTCATTTACATAAACATTTATGTAAAAGACGCAAGATATTAATATATGATGAGAAATAAAATATACAATATAAACATTGTATATAGTAATCTATTTAGTTGTCTATAAAAATTATTTATTCTATTTTATTTGATTTATTTTGAATTAACCACGATACTATTAATATATAATCGTGGATGCAATTTCTGCATTCATGTTGGGTAACGGTGGTTTGATCCTTTAACTCTGAGTGATGGTCTTTCCCTTCTGCATCCAATGACTTCTGAAGTCAGTGATGGAGATGGCCCGAGCTGGGTGATGAAGAAACTCGGCCCCGTCTTTGAAGTCGAAGAGACTTGGTGTTGTTGAAGTCGGTCATGTTCCGATATGAGGTTGGTTCTGACCTAGTCGGTCATTTCGGCAGTCGGCACAGCCGTCTTGCAGCTCGGAAGTCGGGCAAGGTAGGCGACTGTTTTGACACTCAGGTGAAGTCGGGCTCGGTATTGTTAGCTCGGTGATGGCTGAAGAAGACGAAGCTGGTCCCGACTTGTACGATCCATGCTTTGGCAAGGTCGGTTGTCGAAAGGTAGTATGCGACTATGAAGAAGTCGGGTTTCGACTGGGTTCTGCTGCTCGTTGGTCAGCGAGGTGATAGATCAACCGGCGGTGTTGTGTAGTCGGGCTCCGACGATCCAAGTCGGAGATGAAGGTGTGGAGGTCGGGTCTCGGCAGAGATTTTCGAGGGTGAAGTCGGGTACCAACGGTAAGGTCGGTTCCAGCAGCGTTGGTACCCGAAGTCGGTCTGGAAAAGTCAAAGTCGATTTTGGTGACTAAAATCGGGTTTCGAGGTCAGCCACATTGTAATATGAGGTCGGCCTCGGTTTGAGATCAAGCCCTGGGACAATGTCGTGCAACCCGGCAGTGACTTCGGTGGTCTAGAGCTGTGTTGCGAAGCTCGGTAATCGGCCAAAAGAAAGTGATATATTGTTTTCATCTTTTTCGTTTTACGTACGCAAACTTGAAGAGATAAGAACAAAATGACTTGAAAAGATAAGAACATAATGAGAGGCGGTGGAAATGCCTGATACAGAAAAACGCTGAGAAAAACAGCAAAAGCTGTTTTTGTTTTTGGTGATAATGGCGCGTAGCTTTCTTTTGCTCATGAGAAAGTGATTTTTCTTTCTTTTTTATTATCTCATCCGCTTATGTTCTGCAATTCTCATCTTTTTGCAGAGTTTTTCTTTTGTTTTGGGGTAAATCAAAAAAGATACAGAGCAGAGCTTGTTTTCTGGATAATGTTTTGAGAAAAACAAAGGAAATCGGATTTTAAATAGAAATTGGTGGCGTATGTGGTGTTAAGCCGGATAATTACCTCAAATCAATTACGAGGCCCTTCCTCTAGCACCAAAATATTGCGAAAAATACACCCCTATTTCTGTGAATAATCAGTATTGAAGCAAAGTGTCTTTTTTATTGATTTTGAGGAGATAAATATCTCTTGATTTTTGTTGTTATAGAAGATGATAGAACAATGAATCTCTCCTCCCCTGCCCCTTTCTCTCTCATGGCCCTATATATATATATATATATATATATATATATATATATATGCCTTTTTTACACAATTTGCCTATTAAAAAATAGATAAAAAGGGAACATAACATTTAATGTGAGATGACATCGTGGGCCCGATCATGACACTTGACGACTTCGATTGACGTCAACTTTATCAACAATTATTGTATCTGCCGGAGACGGATCTTCTCGATATTCGGGTCGAGCTGATGATATTAATTCGGCTCGGCTCGGCTCGGACGTGGACGATCTAGACACTCGGGAACTCAGTCGATATTAAGCGATCAACTCAGAGAACTTGCTATATTTATATTTATCCACCTGTAACTTTTTTATTAAATTAGCTATCAACAGCAGGATCCAAAAGAATCATCGTCTCTTATAATCGTATGCATGTCCCATGTTGTGGAGAACTACTTGTCTTCTCTTAATTAATAACCTTGATCTTATTTCCCCTTTGAACCGGAACCTGACCGTCTAATTAGTGAACCGTCAGTTCGGTTTAACCTCAGCCCTTGATCTTGCAGCTACAACATCCAACGATGAATATTAAAAAAAACAAATAAAAGAGTCATTTGTCACGGTTCCAATGGTTCTTGGAGCCAACTCTGAATTTGAAATTTAGATTTTAAAAAAAAAAAAAACCTCCTTTGGTTCACACGGTTTGGAAATGTTTGAATTAGTTCATTCAAAAATAAATCACAAATCAATGATTCATATACTATCAAAGTTTAGTCTATTTGTATTAGTCTATTTGTAATTAAAAACAAAAAGTTGGTAAAGTTGGTAAATCTGCAAATAAATAGAGATTCGTAAGTGAGCGACGTAATCTTCCCAAATAAAAATGGTCCAAACTGGCAGACAATTTCGAGTTCGTACGTGGGTCGGCCCAACCTAGCCCAAAAAAAGAATCAGCTTGAGTTTGGCCTATGTGCAAAATGCAAAGTAGTCAATGAGTAGAAACCAAAGGTACCAAATTTTCACTGACAGTGACGAACAGAGTTTAGCTAACAACAGCCTAATATAGATAGAAAAACATATATCCAAACAATCCAGTTAGAAATGATATCAACATTAGAGAATAGTTTGTAGGAAAAGAAAGAAACATATGTAGACTGTAGAGTAAGCATTCAAAAAAAATCTCAAGGCCGTAACAAAAACGACTAAACAATTGAGTGTTCCCACAAAACCTTTTAGCATGAGATGATCCCTTTGCTACTCTCATTGTTCTTCATGATTGTAAGAACGCAAACTATTTTAGCATGATATTCCAAATACAGGTAAAAACATGAATTGGCCGACAAAACATCTCGAAATTGTCTTTAGAAAAAAAGGCACCTTGTCGACCAGTTATTTTCAAATAATATTTTGAAATATCGAGACTGTGTTCCCAACTCATTCGTACTCTTATCTCTGATAGACGTTTCTTATAATTACCGTGAAGATCACGGTTGACAACAGGTTTTTATATCCTGTTATTATAAATGTAACTTAACTAATAGTCTTTAACATTCTAGAAGGCTAGAAGGTAGATATAAGATAAGATTGTATACTACTAAACTTCAATTCAAATGGAAGGGGGGAATATTGGTTTCAAACTTTGGCATCTTATTGTCAACAATAACAGTTCAAGCGTGACAGCCCAGATCAAAGACTTTGAAGAACAAAAAGGAAAAAATATCCAAATTCTAATAGTCAAAGAACATGAGCTTGAAAGTCTTGAACCCAACGAGGAAAAAATCATCACAGTCTAACAAATTTTCTTCCAGAATCATAATGACCAAGACAAAGAAAGATTCCTTTTTTCCCAGCACAATCCCCCTCATTCTTCTTATTCAATATTTCACCAAACTTTCATAAAACTCAACCAATCACCATATCTCTCAACCAAATTTAATGTTGTGATCCAACAAACAAACAAAAAATAAATAAATAAATAAATAAATAAATAATAACAATAATAACAAGAAATGACGATTCTACCCCTCAAAGATCTAACCTTCTGGCTCTCAGACCACCCGTCCATCGCCCGATTCCGATGGGGCCCCACCGACACATGGGGGGCAACCTGGTCATTTTTAGCCACCGCCATCGCCGCCCACATTGCCGCCGCCACATCCCTCCACCTCCTCCTCCGCCTCCTCCGCCGCCGGCGGCCGGTCCAAGTGGGCCCCATCCCGGCCCTCCACAGCCTCTCCATCTCCCTCGTCTCCGCCGCCACCTCTGCCGGCGTCCTCCTGTCCGCCGCCGCCGAGATCCGAGACACGCGGTGGCTCTGGCGCCGGCACCGGACACCTTTCCAGTGGCTCCTCTGCTTCCCCCTCGGGACCCGCCACTCGGGAAGAATCTTCTTCTGGTCCTACATATTCTACCTCTCCCGATTCCTCCACGCCCCACGAACGCTCCTCGTCATCCTAAAAAATCCCCAGAAATTCCCGGGTTTTCAGGTCCTCAACCATTCTGTACTGATGTGCACCTCGTTCGTGTGGCTCGAGTTTTCGCAGTCCTTTCAAGCGCTCGCCGTTTTCTCCACGGTGGCTGTACTCGCCTTGGTGCACGGCTACAGATTTGGCGTCGAGGCAGGGTTTTGGCGGGAAAAGGCGGCGCCTTTCTCGTTTGTGGCGCTTTGTCGGGTGATTTTGGTGACGGCAAGCATGGCTTGGCATTTGGGGGTTGTTATTTTGCACTTTTGGAAAGGCGGGTGTAATGGGATGGGAGCTTGGGCTTTTAATGCGGTGCTTAATGGCTTTGTGCTTTTTCGCGCGCTCGGGTTTTACATCCGAACGCGCAAGGGG